ATTCTAGCCCCATGTACCAAATACTATTTTCATCAGGGCCATTCACAATTAAAGACTGATGACATCATGGTGCATTTAGAAGACACGATGGTACTGATAAAGCTCCCTGTCCCCCTCATATTAAATCCCCCCCCTTTGCTAGAGGACATTCATAGCCCTACTGTGACAAGCCACCAGCATATATGGCTCTCCCTGATCTAAGGTTTTTTTCTAGTCTTCTTTCATTTATTTGATTTCCTTCAATTAAAAAAAAAGAAACATGAAACAATTTTTTAAATGACACATGCGTGCTGGGCGTCAGTTGCTCATGCCTGTAATCTTAGCTACTCAGGAGGCTAAGATCTGAGTATCACAGTTCAAAGCCAGCCTGGGCAGGAAAGTCCACGAGACTCTTATCTCTAATAAACCACTAGAAAACTGGAAGTGGCGCTGTGGCTCAAGCAGCAGAGTGCTCGCCTCGAGCTGAAGAACGCAGGGACAGTGCCCAAGCCCAGAGTTCAAGCCCCACAACCGACAAAAAAAAAGAAAAGAAAAGACCCATACATTACAATCACCATCACCCAATTAGGGAAAAGAATTATATAAACAGGTAAATAAAATTGCCATTCAAAAATGAGCATCAGATAAGGTCCCCTATTATCAGTTACTCTGTCAAGTTCAAATCTTGCATGACTCTAAGAAGTTGAGCATCAAACCACTGTGGAAGTGTATCCAGGGCACCAAAATGGGTAATTTTGTACATCATACCTGGAATGAATGAGCAAAGACTCTGCTCTGAGCATGCATAGCCAAGAGAGCTGCAAAAGAAAGGGGTAGGCAGCTGTAGTGTAATAATTGACTTCTCTAAGTCTCCAGCTTGACCTCTTCTTAAGCTGTGTTTAAGATTTTCTTGACCATATGAAATTTATATAACATATTTTGGTTTTAGAAGCTAAGTTGAGATCTTAGAGAAAGACCCCTAATTTTCTTTAAAATCTAATGGAATGCCACAGAAAAAAAAACTAGAACTTCTTTCACATTGTGGAACCATGAGCAAAGAAGTAACTTTTTTTTATCAAAATCTAATATGCACATGTATACATCTGTCATTAAATGACTTATTCTTGTACTATTTCATGAGGTCTTTAAAATTTTATTTTGCCAGTCTCAGAGATTTAACTCTGGGTCTGGGCACTATCCCTAGGCTTCTTTTTGCTCAAGGCTAACACTCTACTACTTGTGCCACATTGCAACTTCTGGCTTTTTCCGAGTAGTTTCTTGGAGATAATGACCAGATAAGATGATGTTAAGCAAAAGTGAACCCAAGATAGGGACACAAGTGTTTTTTTCTTTCTTGCTATTGTTTCTAACATATTTATAATGTACCATGTGATTTTTTGTTTATTTGTATGTTCCTCCCCCATGGTATAACCACTGTTTTCACTGTATTTGATGCCGGTGCCCTGCATCTTGTATATGCACTTCTCTAATATGGGAAGAGGAAGGGATAAAACAAAATGCTTAAATAGGGTTACATGATGACCCACTGTAACAATGAGATGTATAAGACACTATGTTGAAAAATGAATTTTATAATTTAGGTGGGGGGGAGTGTAGTTATGGAGGTGGAAGGGAAGGGATGGTAGGGGAAAAACAAAGGAGGAGGTAACAATACTTGATAGGAAATGTACTCATTACCTTACTCATATAACTGTAATCTCTCTGTACAGTTTTTTTTTTTTACAATAAAAGACGTATTAAAAAAATCTCAGGGACTTTACCCAGGTTGGCTTCAAACAGTGATCCTCACATCTCTGCTTCCTGAGTAGCTAGGATTAAAGGTGTGAGCCACCAGTGCCTGGCTCTATTTTAAGTTTTAATGACTATTCATCACTCAATAAATTGACTTCAAGATCCACAAATTATTTCTGGATATGAGTGAATGAAGCATACTGAGAAAGCTCAATTTTTCCAAGCTGTGATTCGATTTCCACGTAAATCTCTAGGCCAGGGAAAAGGGCTCTTCATTCAAACAGCTCCTGTCCCCAAGAAGTTTATCTGTGACTTCCTCAAGGAAAACTCTTCTATCTTCATTTCTATGATCAAGCAATTATAGTGCTTGCTCCACAAAGCAAGATTCTTTGGTCCACCGCAGGAGGGGGTACCGGACACACAACTCCTCCAAAACGGGCTTTGTGTTAAATTGGATGATAAGGAAGAAAACAGTGTATAATGATTCATTGACAAGGTTCTGCCCTCTGCTTCTGCAATGTCTGTCCAATTGTTATTTAAATCATCAAAACATAGCTGGATCCAGATACATTACTTTTATTTTAGCTAGACCATACGATACGTCTCTGTTAGGTCCAATGAATGTCAGGAAGAATGAAATAGCAAAAAGTTAATATTCAACTACTGAGCCTGTAAACCTGACAAGAAGATGAAAGGAGAGACTAAGTTGTAACAAAAAGAAATCGTTTAAGATTTCACTGTCATAATAATAATGATAACAATCCTTTCATGTAAAATATCTCAATGTTTAAAAGAGAGAACAGGCTCAAAAGAAGACAAAAAAGTATAATAACATGCCAAAAGTTAACTTTAAGAGGCAACATACTCAACAAACCAAACCAAGGGAACAGTTAATACTTAATTTACTTAAAATAACAGGATTTGTTATAGGATGATCAAACATTCTTAATGTTCTTTTTTTTCTGATTCCTTTGCATATCCTTATTTTACAGGTTTTTAAGTAGCCACTAATGAATCATGATGAAAGAAAAGGCTGATTCTTGGCGAATCGTTCATAAATTTTCACATAACCATACCAAACATAACACAGTAGGAAACACATTTTTCTAGGCTGAGGATTGAATGTGCTTTCCACTTCGGAAACAACAGACATCATGGTTTCTGTCCTTCCCAAGACATCATTATTACTTTCATATGATTTATGGCTGAAAAGTATGAAAAATGGTGCAAAATTCCTTTGCCAAATTCCCATATGGCATATAACATAAGCCAAACTGTGAAAATCTCATAAATGTGGGTAGATCAGTTTCATCAAAGAAAGGAGCAAGAGGGTTCCAGAGACTGAACAGGAAACTCGCCAGATAATTTTTTACAGTCCTGTAATTCCAAGGCTGCAGTAACGAACACAGCCCTGCCTCTGTACATATAATGCTTGAGTTAAACATGAGGGCAGTAAGCCAGAAATGAGGCAGAGATGATTGAAGACACTATCAATCAAATCGTGTTTATTCTTTGCTAAGTCTACCTTCTCTCTTTCTTCTTGGACAAAAGCAAAAGTGCAGATCATAATGATTTCAAAAATAACAGTACTATCTTCAGAAAGTCCCCTATAAATATTGATGTAACTTCAAGGTCCATGAAATATGACAAATCCAAAAATAACAACTTCTGTAGAGAATCTAGCAATTTATCAGTTTCTCTATTTATGAAATTTAGCAGCATGTAAATCAATTTCAACCCAACTCAGTTAAGCAAGTATCTGCTATTTCACAAATACTTTTACAAGTATTTCTAATATGTTGAATATTCTTGGACACACTTCTTGATCCCAGTTCAAATACTATATCTTGACACAAAATAGATTTTCAAAAAAGCTAATATACACTAAAACAAGAACTGTTACAAAGGTAAAGTATAAGAACTGTAAGCAAGAGTTAAAACCTTGAAGCAAGAGTGCGTCTGCAGAGTAAAAGAAAATGTTGAATCATTTTAAGTGTGCTTGATGCAGAAAATAGAATAAAATGTTGGAAAGAGAAGTTGAGGTCATGGTTTAGAAGTCTGAACGACAGGAGAAGATGCATGTGGGATAATGTTACATGAACACTGGAAATTCACTTGGTGTATTAAAGAGTAATATAAAAGTTAGGATTTGGGGTATTTTACCTGGTAGGATGGTTTGTAGCAAGAAGTGATAAGCAAGTACTGCAGCCTAAGGAAATGAATATGGAAGCAATCCAGATGAAGAATAAATTCAGAGTGGGTTGAAGGAACAGATCCGTGTTTGTACACTTGCTTAGCCTGGGCAAGTCCCTGAGTCAAATCAAGTCCATGACCTCTGATCTTGATGATCTGCTTCTTATCTCAGAACCCAAACAATGGGATCAAGCCAGGCATGGTAGTGTACACCTGTCATCTAAGATACTGAGGAGGGAAAGATACAAGGACTGTGGTTTGAGGCCAGCCAAGGAAAAAATTATCAAGTCCCTATCTCAAAAGGAAGCCAGGTATGATGGTTCACACCTTCTTTTATACAAAGAGGCAGAGGTAAGACAACTGTGATCACAATCTTTTGCAAAAGCAAAAGACACTATCTGAGAAAAACAAAATGGAAAGGACCAGGGACATGGCTCAAATGGTAGGGAATTTGCTTGCCAACTGCAATGCCCTAAGTTCAATTTCCTCAGTACAAGAAAAAAAGAAAGAAAAGAAAGAAGAGAAAGGAAGGAAGGAAGGAAGG